TCTTGCTCAGGCTGGTCTCGAACTCCTGACCTTGAGTGATCCACCTGCCTCGGCCTCCCAGAGTGCTAGGATTACAGGCGTGAGCCACCGCGCCCGGCCCCCATCATTTTTTTACTTCTTACTTTTAGCAAAACAAGATGTTCCAGGCTCATCTTGTATTTTCCATGGCCAGGACCTAGAATGTCCTGGAGTTGGCCATTCTTCCAAAGAACCCCGGTTCCTTTGACTGAAGAATGATACTTAAAAATCAAGCTCTTGACTCTTAAGTGTCTTTGCTATTAGGGTATCACTGCTTCCAGACCCTTCCAGTGGAAAGAGGTAGTAAATATATGTATGCATGTACATACACACACAGATGCACACATACAATGACATTTGTATTTCTCTATATAACTGTAGATAGGGATACAGGAAACTGAATTCACAGTGATTCCTGTAGTTCCAGTTAACACAACGGGGTTCATTCTAGATTCTTCCTTTTCCATATTTGTAATTCCCTTTTTCAGCAGTGAAAAGCCCGGTTCCCATTATCTTCAATGTATTTATTTATTGAAACAATCCCTCCATGTGTAAACAGTCTCAGTTCACCATAGCTTTCCCTCCCTGTGTAACCTTGCATGGACAACTACCTTGTTCAGCCCCACCAAATGGCTTTTAAATATTTAGCTCAAGAAATTAATGTACAAAGATCCATATATGGTAATGTTCATTAAACATTCTTTATAAAAGCCAAGAAATAGAAACAACTTAATTAACAAATAGGAAATCAATTCAAGGGGGGAAGGAGGTAAATTCATAATCCATATAGTAGAATAATCCATTAAAAGTGATATCAAATGTATATATTAAAAGTGATATGAAGTGTATATATTGATACAGAAAGACACTTGCCATGTAACTTAAAAAGCAGGCCACAATTACTGTAGGATGCCATTTTTTTCAAAAAGTAAATACATTTATGTAAGAAAAATACTGGAAGAATATATGCAAAAACACTGTTAGTGATTATATCTGGATTTATCTATACATATGCTCTTCAGTGTTTTTAGACTTCTCTATATTGACTGAGTTTTCTTTAGATACTTACAAAAGAGAAGAAATGAGTGTCATTTTGAAGCTGGAGGACATTTAAAGCTGGAACTGACATTACAGATGAATGTCAGGTGGACTGATATTAAATGCAGAGTCAGATGTCAGCTGCTCGTTGTCTGCACACAGATCTAATGTGTGCCTTAAACTATTGCAGATGCCCTACTCTGCCATGACGATGAGTTGGAAGGGCGCCGGATAGCCTTCATTTTATACCTGGTTCCTTCCTGGGACAGGAGCTTTGGGGGCACCCTGGACCTGTACAGCATCGATGGTAAGACAAGTGCATGCTCTTCGCCACCAGTGGCCACTTCTGAATTAAAGCTGAGTTGCTTCAGTATCACCATTCTTTTTTTTTTTTTTTTTT